AAATTTAAACATAAATGACTACAATAGGTTAGGCAAGGAAATTCAACAGGAGAAACAGCTTTTGTCAGCACAGATGGAGGAAGTTACACAGGGAATAGAACAGTGCAAGAAAGATATGCAACTCACTTATGCACAAGTGGCCAAGGAGAAGGAAAAAATAGAAGAAGCAGTAAAGGAAGTCAAACACTGCAGCAACCAAGATAAAACAAACATTAGGCTAGAAGTGAGGAAAGAATTGGCATCTAACCCGAAGTTGGTGCAAAACACAGTTGATCGGAGTAAGTCCCTGATCATTTTGGCTGCAAAGAAAAGGCGATAACATCTAGGTCAGAAAGAGCTGTAGAAGAAGCTAAAGTAGTAGATAAAATTGTTGGCCTCGTGGAAGGTCTTACAAACAGAGAGAATGTGTGCGACTACAGGAGAATAGGCAGGTACGTAAAAGGGAAAGATCGACCTTTGAGGATCACCCTAAACGGTGCCAAACAGATGGAAGAAGTACTAAGGAATGCTAGAAAATTGCAAAGGGATGAGGATGGGAAAGGGTGGTCGTTAAGACGAGATCTTTCAAAAGAAGATAGAGAGAAGCTGAAACTGAACCTCGCCGAGGCAAAACATTTAAATGAGAGCAGGAATGAAGAAGAAATAAATTCTTTTTTCTACAAAGTGATAGGGGTAGGCAAACCAGTAAAGTGGTACATAAAGGCAAACCAACAAAATCAATAGAGAGAGGGGGAGTGAAGAATAAGGAGAGGGGGAACAAGTTCCTGAAGATTGCATACACCAACATAGATGGAGTGAGATCGAAGATACTGGAGTTAAGTGATGTAATACAGCTGCAGACACCAGACATTGTTGCACTCACGGAGACAAAACTTGAAGATGTAATTTTAAATGAGGTCATATTCCCAAGGGGCTACTCAATTTGGAGACGGGACAGAAAAATTAGGAAAGGCGGTGGCGTTGCTGTGCTGGTAAAAGAACACCTAAAGGTGAAGGAAATAATGACTGCCAATCCACAAGAAGTTGACATAATAGCACTAGAGATCTGCTATGAGGATGATAAACTAATGATGATAAATGCATATAGTCCACCGCCAAGCAGCACATGGTCAAAGGAGGAGCTAGATAGTAAACGTGAAGGTCTTATAACAATAATGAGAGAGATTATAGCGAGAGCGGATAACGATAGATCACGACTGTTGATAGTCGGTGACTTCAACTTGAAATCCATAGACTGGGAAGCATATGAAGCTAAAACAGAAGATTTTTGGACCTGTAAATTTGTAGACCTCATCCTGGAAACATTCTTGTATCAACATGTTAAACAAGCTACGAGGATGAGGGAAGGGGACGTTCCCTCCATGCTAGATTTGATATTTACCAGGAAGGAGGAAGAGATATTTGACATTCAGTACCTTCCTCCCTTGGGTAAAAGTGACCATGTCTTTTTGGGAATAAAGTATGCAATGCGTTATAAGCTGGAAGAAAATAAGGAGGTTGAAGCAGTTGAAAAACCAGACTTCAGGAGAGGACATTATGGTGACCTTAGAAATTTTTTTAGTGAGTATAATTGGACAGACTTGATGCTAGGCAAGGAAGTGAATGAGATGTATGGCAAGTTTTGTGAAATATATGATAAAGGCACAAAAAAATTTATACCAAAACAGAGATGCAGAACTAGGAAACAGGATTGGTTCAATAGAAATTGCGAGAGGGCTAGAGACCGAAAGACACAAAAATGGAATCAATACAGGAAGAGGCCGAACCCCCAAACATACCAGCGATACAAAGATGCGAGAAACAACTACACGGCAGTGAGGAGAGAGGCAGAAAGAAATTTTGAAAAAGGGATTGCGGACAAATGTAAAACAGAACCAGGTCTATTCTATAAATTCATAAACAACAAATTGCAGGTAAAGGATAATATTCAGAGGTTGAAAATGGGAAATAGATTCACGGAAGATGAAAAGGAAATGTGTGAAACACTAAACGAAAAGTTCCAAAGTGTGTTTGTACAAAATGAAATCTTTAGGGAACCAGATACAATAAGAATTCCAGAGAACAACATAGAACACATAGAGGTGTCTAGAGACGAAGTGGAAAAAATGCTCAAGGAGCTCGGTAAGAACAAAGCAGCTGGCCCAGATGGCGTTTCACCATGGGTTCTGAGAGAATGTGCATCTGAGCTCAGCATTCCACTTCACCTGATCTTTCAGGCATCCCTGTGTACAGGAATCGTAGCAGACGGGTGGAAACAGGCTAACATAGTTCCAATCTACAAAAGTGGCAGCAGGGAAGACCCCCTCAATTATAGACCTGTATCATTAACAAGTGTAATAGTGATAGTATTGGAAAAACTAATCAAAACTAAATGGGTAGAACACCTAGAGAGAAATGATATAATATCAGACAGACAGTATGGTTTTCGATCTGGAAGATCCTGTGTATCGAATTTACTCAGTTTCTATGATCGAGCCACAGAGATATTACAGGAAAGAGATGGTTGGGTTGACTGCATCTATCTGGACCTAAAAAAGGCTTTCGACAGAGTTCCACATAAGAGGTTGTTCTGGAAACTGGAAAATATTGGAGGGGTGACAGGTAAGCTTCTATCATGGATGAAAAATTTTCTGACTGATAGAAAAATGAGGGCAGTAATCAGAGGCAATGTATCAGAATGGAGAAATGTCACAAGTGGAGTACCACAGGGTTCAGTTCTTGCACCAGTGATGTTTATTGTGTACATAAATGATCTACCAGTTGGTATACAGAATTATATGAACATGTTTGCTGATGATGCTAAGATAATAGGAAGGATAAGAAATTTAGATGACTGTCATGCCCTTCAAAAAGACCTGGACAAAATAAGTATATGGAGCACCACTTGGCAAATGGAATTTAATGTTAATAAATGTCATGTTATGGAATGTGGAATAGGAGAACATAGACCCCACACAACCTATATATTATGTGAGAAATCTTTAAAGAATTCTGATAAAGAAAGAGATCTAGGAGTGGTTCTAGATAGAAAACTATCACCTGAGGACCACATAAAGAATATTGTGCAAGGAGCCTATGCTATGCTTTCTAACTTCAGAATTGCATTTAAATACATGGATGGCGATATACTAAAGAAATTGTTCATGACTTTTGTTAGGCCAAAGCTAGAATATGCAGCTGTTGTGTGGTGCCCATATCTTAAGAAGCACATCAACAAACTGGAAAAGGTGCAAAGACATGCTACTAAGTGGCTCCCAGAACTGAAGGGCAAGAGCTACGAGGAGAGGTTAGAAGCATTAAATATGCCAAAACTAGAAGACAGAAGAAAAAGAGGTGATATGATCACTACATACAAAATAGTAACAGGAATTGACAAAATCGACAGGGAAGACTTCCTGAGACCTGGAACTTCAAGAACAAGAGGTCATAGATTTAAACTAGCTAAACACAGATGCCGAAGAAATATAAGAAAATTCACCTTCGCAAATAGAGTGGTAGACGGTTGGAACAAGTTAAGTGAGAAGGTGGTGGAGGCCAAGACCGTCAGTAGTTTCAAAGCGTTATATGACAAAGAGTGCTGGGAAGACGGGACACCACGAGCGTAGCTCTCATCCTGTAACTACACTTAGGTAATTACACTTAGGTAATTACCATCTAAGCCCTGCCCCATCTCTGAAACCCTCAGACATTTGGAAGCCAGCAGCAGGGGAAATGGGGGGAGGGAGGAAGCAGGACGAGGGAGTGTGGACGAAACCAAAGTCGAAGCGACTAACGCCCCCCAAGTCCGGTTTTCTATAACCAAAGAGAGGCAGCCTCGGGACATCCGGAAGGGCAACCAACCTACCGCGTTGCAGCAACCTAAACCTTGCATGCAATGCCAAAGCTGCTTGCACTGATATCAGTATCAGTGGACTGGGTGAACTGGAGTATCATTAAGAAACACCATTCGCAGGACTCTGAGTCAAAGGTGTCATTGACCCAACAGGCAGCATGATGGAGGCAAACAGGGTGAATGTCACCCTGAGATAAGGGGACAGAGCACCCTTAAAATCAGACAAGGCGAGATGGGACCCAGACCATCCATCAGACCAATGAAACCCAATTGAATTTTTCAGGGCCCTTAGGCTGACTGTTAATGGAATCCCAAATCCCAGGCAAAGTACTGCTAACCGGTTAGCCCATCTAACGAGAGAACTACTAAAGCTGAACCCCTGTGATGTGTACAATCACAGGGACCTAGCGGGAGGGGGGAGGGGGGGACCACCTGAGGTTGGAGAGCTGAGGTTGGAGAGCTGAGGTTGGATTTTGGCACGAGGGGCCTGGAGGACCCCCACCTTTTCTCCTCCCAGGGAGGGGGGGAGCTGCGCAGACAGGTGGCGTGGCGGTGGGTGTGGCATCATGCTTGTTTGCTTATTTTCAGATTAGGGGTGATATGCTTAGCATTTTGGCTTTCGGTTGTAATGTTTTACCAGTTAGAGTCTGTTCTGGGACGCCTTCCTCTCTGGGTGCCTAACCTGGTCGACGGCAGACATAGAAGGCTTCCAACCACAAGGGGGCTTCTATAAGCCATTGCTCCTCATGCCTCTCTGAGGGGGCCAGGTTCTGGCTCGTGGTCCCCAGTGTGCATTGGAACTCCATTCAATGACTATTACCAAGCATATCAGCCCAGTAAGCTCTGGGGAGCTGGAGGGGGCTCTCACCAGAAATGTAACCTAAATCTGAAAGCTGCATTGTATTATATATAAATTATATTAATTAAAGCTGATGGATCCTCCTTATGATATGCATTGCCACAAATTTAATATTAGCCATTAAATATCATATATTAATCTTGGAAGTTCCTCAGCAATTTAATATCTTTTAACACACACCTTATACACACCCCAACATTTTTACCAAACACTGTGAAATAACCACTAAATAACTTCTATATTCTTTCCATTTGTGCCAGACTACAAAATTTTATTTAACAACTCTTACCAATCATCAACTGAACTTACCTTGAGTAAGTTGATTTGGAGCAGACTGCCCAGACCGTTCTTCTGTGATGCGAGTTATACCACCATCATTGCCATTCATGACGACTGGAGTATCTTCATCCTCAATGATTTGTGAATAATCTAGACCTTGAGGTACACGCAGTATGGCAATTCCAAAATACATGTCCAGTGCCTCACTGTAAAAATTAAGTTTAAACAATCAATTTGATACTACAATGAATATAGAGAACAACATAACTAACATTCAATATTCATAATTATTTCAGTTTAATGTGTTTGTGGATATGGATGTTTAAGAGTATTTGTCTGTTGGTCAGCGTATCAAACGGTCATGTAGACAGAAAGGCCACAGTCTCTGAAGAGTGCCCCAGTTTACCAGTTTATCTCATCATGTTTTCCAGGTGAATTTTAAATAAATTTCCTCACTGCCCTAACTTCAGTGGCATTGAAAGGTAGATTGTTCCAAAGGTATCCAATTACTGCTGGGTGCAAAGGGGTGAGCATAGTGAAGGAAGAGTGCCTCAGTAAGACTAACCTTTGTGTGTCTTACGTAATAATACTAGGAGAGATACCCAGCTGTGTCTAGGTCTCTCTCCACCATTACTCCGGTTGATAGTTCTGGTCCATTCCCTCCCTCTCTAATCTCTCTTTCCTTTTCTGCCCCCTTTCTTCCCTGCAAACACACATTTTAATGGTCTCTACTGTTACCTTGTTAAAACTTGTTACAAGTTGTTACATCTAGTTAAAAAGTTTTTATGAAGTGTTAGAATGTTGCTATAACTTGTTAGATTGGTGTTACAACTTGTTAGAAGGTGTTAAAACTTGCTTAATCATTGTAGCAGCATCATAGTTTTGTCATGTGCTTGGTGGGTTCCCTTTTCACCCCTTCTTCTCTTCTCTTCTCTCCAACTTTCTCCTTCAAGATCTCCCTTCTCAATCTCTCTACTCCTCTCTCTAACTTTCTCAAGATCTCGCCCCTCTCTCTCCCTTTCATGCCTCTCTCTATTCTCCCCCCCCCCCCTCTCACCCTTCTCTCTTCTCACACTCTATCACCCCACTTCTCTCTTCTCCCCCCTCTCCTTCCCTCTCCACCATCTCTCTCAAATTCCTTCCTCACACTTTCTCCACCTTTCTCCCCTCCTCTCTATCATGTTTCCTCCCCTCTCTCCCAGTCTCACCCCTTCTCCCTCTCTCTTTCCCCCCTCTATTCACCTGTCTCATTCTCTCTTCAAACATTCCCCTCTCCCTGTTTCCCTTTCCCTTTCTTCGAAAATCCATTCCTCCACCCCCCTCTTCTTATTCCTTCCATCCACCCTTTTCCCTCTATTTTCTGTTTCATAACAAATAAAGAAATCTAAGGACTCAGTCAGCCACCATTCACTAATTAGGTGTGGGGGGTCACTATTTGGCCTAATCCCTGTGCAGACCCCTCTTAATAAGACAAATAGGACCAACCCCAACCAGCCTTTGTCCATCCCATAACCCAGTTCATTCATTTTTCAAAGTTGGATGCCCTAAGCATCTGGCCTCTGACCTTGGAAAGAGGCAAATAAACAGACTCTAAAACATACAGTAAAGATAATAATAATTTTTGTTTAAAAAACCAGCGTTGAATGTAATGAAGCGCCATTTTCTGGGTGAGTCCCGGAGGCTCCCAGAGCTATCCAGGCTGAATGATATGTATAACTTTCTGGCATCAGTCAAAGTGCTAGGAGTTCTTGCCCCAGGGACCACGAGCCAGAACCAGGCCCCCCTCAGAGAGGTATGAGGAGCAATGGCCTATAGAAACCCCCTTGTGGTTGGGAGCATTCTATGTCTGCCATCGACCAGGATAGGCACCCAGAAAGGTAGGCGCCCCAAAACAAACCCTTATTCTGGTGAAAATATTGCTACCGAAAGCTGAACGAGTGGACAGAACCTCCCAAACAAAATTATCAAACTAACATGACGTCATCATGTCGCCGCGCCACCGTCTGCACAACCCTCTCCTCGCCGGGAGGGGGAATGGGGAGCCCCAGACCCTCCACGCCAGAAAGTTATACATAACCATTCAGCCTGGGATAGCTCCGGGGAGCCGAAGGGGCTCCCCCCAGAAAATATACAGAAAAGTTGTTCTATAGTCTTCAGCCCATCACAATAAGTGAACTTTTTCTTTAGTATTAACTGTCTACCTCATCTAACCTTTAAACTTCTGAAAACAACCTGATTGGTTTATCTTAAGTTTGCCCAAAATGCACTGTGTACCTGCACTGTGAGGCTTTATGTATTGTACAGTACTTATTTTATCTATGTATCTTTTTCTGTTCATGTATGTAAACTTGTATAAATAAACTAATATTATTATTATCATCATTATTATTATTATTATTATTATTATTATTATTATTATTATTATTATTATTATTATTATTGAGAACATCGGTAGGAATCATGAGAGAGGGTTCGAATCCGCTCACTTGGAACTTTAAGGCTAGCGCCTTAAACCACAACACCACAACATGGAAAAGCAATACAACCTGAGATTGCACTGAATCTTCTAGGATTTCTGATGCCTACAACTTAAGCATAATCAGAGTTTTTAAGCACTGCCCCCATGCACTCTGGCTAATGGTCCAGTAGTTTTTCTCTAACGCTTGCTGTCAAATGCACGATGAAATCACATTAATGTGATGAACCGGTGAGAAAGTCAGTAGGAGCTGTGAGGAGGATTCGAGCCTGCTCACTTGGTACTCCCAAGCTAGCACCCTAGATCACCACTCCATAACATGGAAAAGCAATGCAACCTGGGATTCCATTGAATCCTGTAGGATTTCTGAGGCTTACAACTGAAGCCCAATCATAGGTTTTAAGCATTGCCAACATGCACACCATGTAGTGGCATGTGGTCTAGGATGGTAGCTTGCGAGTACCAAGTGAGCAGGTTCAAATCCTCCTCAGCGCTCCTACTGATTTTCTCATTGATACATTACGTTAATGTAATTTCCTTGTGCATTTGACTTCACGGTTCTGGGTTTTTTCATTCCTGTCCCTTTAGGGGTTTTATTTGTCCCTTTGGGGTTGTTTGCCCTTGTGGTTGGGAGCTTGACCATTAAATCACATTAGGTTTTCCTATAATACCTCTTCCAAGCCTGTTCGTCGCCTGTGTCTGTCACCTGGTCACCTGGTGACAATCATACGTTCTGCCTCCATGATACTGCCTTTTGAGTCAGTGACACCTTCAACCCTGAGTCATGTGGGACCTGTTTCCCCCATGTGTCTCTTCTCACCCATTCACCTCTAGAAGGTCATAGGTTTCAGGTAGTAACTGCTTTGTGCTTAAGGTTCACAGTTTTGCAGCAGTCTAGGTTATGTACCTGGTTGGATGACCCGGATTTGCCCCACTTGGTGTTTAGGGACTTGGATTTGGAGGTATTGGTTAATTTGACTGTGGTTCTGTCCACACCACCTCTTCCTTCCCTGGCGGGACAGTTTCACCCTTCAACTCCCCCCTATCCCCCCACCCTGCTTGTGGCTCCAAAGCATCTGAGGGTTTCAGATATGGGGTAAGGTTTAGCTCGGGATGTGGATTTGGCTGATCTGGTGGTTGGCCCTTCCAAAAGGTGCAGAGGCAGATGAATCTCTTGATCCCACTGAGTCTTCTAGGCCTTTCCAGCCAACCCACTTCCTTTGGACTCCGCACTCTTCCTTCCTGGATTGTAGGCATGCACAGAGGCTCTGCCCCAGGGCCCCTCATCTGTGGTGCCCCAGGGGCCCTCATCTGTGGTTTCCGAGGCACAGGAAAAGTCTGACTGGGTCCTTCAGTCCTGTTTGATTCTTCGTGGGCCCTTATGCCTTCTGCAGAAGGTTTTATCTTGCATAGTGTGGGGTTTTCCTATTCCCTTTCCTGTATGAGTTTTAGTTGGGTTAGTTTTTGTGTATCTTTGGGTTTGTTGGGTTCATTCTTCCAAAAGTTTCTGTTCTCTTGGATTCCCCCAACAAAAGCCCGAGATGCCATTGTTTGTACCTTCTGTGTGACTCAGTTTACACCTCAGTTATGGACCCAAGTTTGAGTTTGGTTCTTCTTCCAGTATTAGGTGTATTACGAGGTTCTGGAGTCATCCCGACTATCCTATGTTCTTCTTTGGGGCTTGGCACGGATTTTGCCATACCCGCACACTTGATTGGGAGGTGTACCAAGCACCAAGACTTTCTTTAGTCCCAAGTAAGTTCCAAGCAACTTGCTTGGGATTGAAGAGAGACTTCTGTGTTGCAGGTCATTTTGGGAGGTCTTTTGAGCCTCTCAATGTTTGCCTCTTTGCTCCTGCCCTTTCCCATGATGTAGGTCTTGTGCAACTACATGCTCAGGTTTCCCTTCTGTCGGCCACCTTGGTTGCCAACGACCTTCATGCCCGTTCACACTTGGCTTCAGTCATGAGTTTCCTGAGCCTCCTCAAGCTTCATTCTTATTCACTCGAGTGGAATGTTGGGACGCTCGGTGCGATCTCTCGTATGGGGATCTTGGCCTCTGTTGCTGAAGCAGCAGAGGCCTTAATCCCTGGGTGGTGCAGTTAGTAATTGCCGACAACACCGTTGTGCACAAGAAAATAAAACTACATTTTGTTTTGTTTTCATTCCAAGATTTTTAAAATGTGTTTCCTGATCACAGGGAAAAAATCATAGGTGACATATTTTGGCTGTGATAGGGCGAGAAAGTCTAGCACAATACAGGCGCTGAAAGAGTACACATCCAGGGCCAGTCTCCTCCAGTCAAGCTGTCAGTAGGGAATTGCCACAATGATATTATAACCTAAGTAATACAATTTCTCTGATTGATTTTTTTGTTTTTGTTTTTTGTAGTAATATTATTCAGAAGTGTGTAGTGTGATATATTTATATAGTAAAATGTGTGAACCATTGCCATACTCAAAAGTATGGTGTGCATATTAGTGATTGATTTATTATGCTCATAAAACAATAAAACCAGTGCTGAACATCATGAAATCCCATTTTCTGGGCGAGACCCGGATCCTCCCCGGAGCTATCCAGGCTAATATTAGTATTAGACCCTGGCATCAGTCAAGTGAGTGGAGTTGTTAAGCCTACCAGGGACCACGAGCCAGAACCTGGCCTCCCCTCAGAGAGGCACGAGACAAAGCACCCAGGTGGGACAACATCAACGAAGCCACCTGCTCACCATATAAGTGGTGATAGACCCGCGTCAGAAAGACCCAACGCAAAGACTTGAGGAGATTGAACCAGCTACATAACAAACTGGCCCGATCTGCTGAAAGAGGCGGAGCCGCGGGAAGCAGCGCCTGAAACCAAGGCTGAGCCGGCTACCAAGGAGCCAAGAGGACTACTCTCCCTCAGTAAGTCTAAGTGAGCTATGACCTGGTGCAACAGTAGAACTGGGGGAAAGAGGTACAGGTAACCCCACCTCGACCAGTCCAGCCTGAAGGCATCGACCCTGATGGCCTCGCAGTCGGTGAAGGGCTCCACATATATTGGGAGATGCCTCTACCATGCCGATGCGAAGAGGTCCACCTCCGAGAGCCCATACATCCAGCAGAGCCAGCAGAATAAGTTGGTGTCAACCATCCATTCTGTGTATAGGCAAATGAACCGAGACAGACCATCCGCTAGGACATTGGACACACCACAAACGTTAATGGTCAGGGAAGCCAAACCCTGTGAACTCAGCAGACGAGTTACCCGAGACAACCAGCCCCAAAGAGCCAAGGACCGCATCGAACCCCCCACGGTTCAGACAATAAACCACTGGGGGAGTAGTCCGAATGAAGCTAGATTGTTGATTTGCAAGTGACCCAAACCCTCCGAAGTGCCCACCACACCGCTGCAAACTCCTGCGTCGTGCTGTGTGCCCGACGGAAGGTTGGATCCCACAGTCCCTGGTTGGTCTGGTGAGCCTCAGGGTTAAAGCCCCAGCCAAGAGATGAAGCGTTCGTGAACCCCTCGAATAAGGGCTCGGGAAGGCATCAAGGGACTGAACCCTGAAAAACCCGAAGAGGAAGCCGGCGATGCAGCAGCCGATGCAAGGCACTCGGAGGCCAAACTCAGCGATCACAAGAGAGGCGACCTCCCCCGAAGGAACCAGAACAGCCAACGAAGACACACCCTACCCGGCAGGTAGACCATCGTGGCAAAGTTCAGACTCCCGCACAAACCCTCAAGCAACTGCCTTGTGACCTGGGAGCCCTCCAAAATTAAATGAAGGTGGGACTGCAGCCACAGCAGAGCCTCTGGAGGGAGAGACAAGGAAGCAGTCTGAGAGTCCCACACAAGACCCTGCCAAGACTGAACCTGAGAGTTATACCTGATTAACCAGGCTGTGGCTCATACATCAGGCTGCGAGCAGCCGCGTCTAACAGCCTGGTTGATCAGTCCAGCAACCAGGAGGCCTGGTCGACGACCGGGCCGTGGGGACGCTAAGCCCCGGAAGCACCTCAAGGTAACCTCAAGGAGAGGGGCCACAGATGGGACTTCCTCCAGTTCACCAGGAATCCGAACCTGGTGAGCTGGGAAAGAACCAAATCCCTGGCGAGGAGACATGCGGACCGGTTGGGAACCCACACCGGCCAGTCGTGGAGGTAGGCCAGGACCTGAACCCCTAGGAGATGCAGATGATCCACCACGACCCAAGTAAGGCATGTGAACATGAGTTCTCGGGGTTTGGCTCTCCTGGCTGTTCATGTGCGGGGGAGTGTCCAACGTCTTGGCCGATGGCCTGTCTCATTGCGTTCTCCCTCTCCACGGAATGGACTGTTGACACCGACTCCTTTCGTTGGCTCTGCCAGACGTTTGGGCGCCCCGAGGTGGACTTCTTCCCATTGGCGTGGTCGTGGCACCTCCCCCAGTATGTGGTGCCCTTCCCCAATTGCGAGGCTGTTGGGGTCGATACCTTTTGGCAGGACTGGTTGAGGTGGGGGTTCCTGTAAATCTTTTCCCCGGTTCAGCTGTTGCTCCAGGTCCTGACTCACTTGGAGACCTACCAGGGGAGAGTAGTCCTCTTGGCCCCGTGGTGGCCGGCCCATTCGTGGTTTCAGGTGCTGCTTGGCCAGTGTCTGAACCTGGAGGTTTTCCCACGGCTCTGCCTCTTCCAACAGATCAGCCCAGTGCGTCACGTGGCTGGTTCGATCTTCTCCTCGAGTCTTCGCGTATGATCTTTCTGACTCGGGTTTATCATCATCTCTATGGGGATCAGTTTTTTTTTTTTTATTGTCAAACCTGCGGGCTTTGTCTCTTCACCAGTATGAGGTCTCCTGGCGGTTCCTCCATTCTTTTTTTACGTGTTCATCGTTGTGCTTCGCTTTCTCTTCTGGTGGTGTTGTCCTTTCTCTCTAGGTTGTTCCAAGACTGTCACCTTATGCCTAACACTGTCACCTAGTATCGTGCGGCGCTGATGGAACCGCTTTGCTTTCGGTGTTGATGTTACTTCTGCACTGTTTCGCAAGCTGTCTCGTGCATTGTTTCACCTCCGGCCTGCTCATGCGCTGCCTGAGCTGTGGCGACATGTAATGTCGTGCTCATTTGCTTGTTTCTTTTAGGGGAGTTCTATCCACTTGTTTGGCTATTGGTAGCAATATTTTCACCAGAATAGGGGTTTGTTTTGGGATTGCTTACCTTTCTGTGCCTGACCAGGTCGATGGCAGACATAGAATGCTTCCAACCACACAGAGCTGTCTATAGGACATTGCTCCCCAAGCCTCTCTGAGAGGGGCCAGGTTCTGGCTCGTGGTCCCCGGTAGGCACACAGAACTCCATACATATGATTGATGCCAAAGTCTGACATTAGCATATCGGCCTAGTAAGCTCCAGGGAGCCTCCGGGTCTAGCCCAGAAAATGGCGTTTCATTACATTCAATGTTGGCTTTTTAAATACAGGGCATACCACAGTTGCTTACTTAAATTTAGGTTTGACATATAGTATATTGTAAGTAATTTTATTAAAATTTATTAAGCCATGTACTGATAGGCTATTCTGAAGTTTACCAAAACTGCAAAGAACTGTGTGTGCAGGTATGCAGGAATGTTCATGTTATTTATATTCATTAATTTCTGCAAAAACTCACTGTAAAGTATTGAAGTAAGCCTTGAGTTCCTGGCGATCACATTTGCGCCAGTTTGCCTTGTATCCAAGCAAGACAGTGTTTGGACGCAATTTTCCTAATCCGACAAGCTGAAACAAATATATAAACAATCAAATTACAAATACCATAATTTAATTCTAATTACATTTATTTGTTACTTTCCCACATATCAAACACTGAATGTAACAACATGTCTGTTAGACCCTCAACACTGGTATCACTAAGGTTTAGGATTATGCCAAGTCTTTGAAATCCATGCTGACTTACTATATGCCAGAACTGAATAAATAATAATTTACCTGAATAAAAATTTGAATTTTGAATTTGAATTTGACTATAATCTGACTCTTTCAGAGGTGAGATAATCTTAGGTTCAGTGTAATGACTGGTATATAAAGTCTAGTTTTTGTTGTTATTAATGTAAATGAGTGACTGGAACTTTAAACGTTAATCTGGTGAGTGATAAATTATTCCTTGTTAGTGTATTATCATATTTCCTGTGTTTTAATAAATGTAATGCACACACTTTGATTGTGTGTTGAGTTCTGCCAATTCAAAAATACCCACGTGGTTACTCATACCCGGCCCCACGTGGTTACTCATGTGTTTGAAGTGTTTTTAAATGCATATTGGTTCTACAACCCTGGTTTAAAGTAACATATCTCAGTTATAAGAAAGAAAGTAAGGACGAGTTTTGTGAATTCGAACTCTAGAGTATGACTTACATGCTCGTGTCCTTATAATGGAAGGATGCATCACTGATAGTCCATTCCATGGCAATAGGGCAAAAACAAGAGACCATTCACCCAAACATTAGACACATGCTAAATGTAAACCTCACTAAGAACCCAATGCAAAGAATCCAGAAGATGAGCTACCAATAGGTTCCAGCTCTATTCAGACAATGAACCACTGAGGAGCAATCAGAGTGGAGCAGGACCACAGAACCCACTGGGGGAGAAAGCAACCATAGAACATGCCAGACAGCCATGAACTCGCATACCATGCTGTGAGTCCAACTCTAAAGGATCCACCCAATGACCCTGAATGGCCAGGAGAGTGTTGGTCACAAACCCACAGCCCAAAGCTGAGGCATCTATTAAAAGGTTGAGAATATGGTGACATAAGTGCCAAGGTACAGAACCCTGAAAAGCCTGAGGAGAAAACTGGCAAACTAGAAGTTGTTGAAGGTTCAATGGCACCTGCACTTAATGATCCCAGGTGGCAGCAAAAGACATGGAACTGCAGAAAATGGTACAATGTTCAGAGCTAAACCCTACCCAGAGGATAAAACACCCAGGCAAAATTCAAGACTCCCACATAGGCCTTTCGAACAAATGATGAGTGACTCAAAAACTCACCACCTCCAGTCAGAGATGAGCATCAAAGTGGAGCAGGGATACAGGCAGAAAGGAGAAGGAAACCATCCATGAACCCAGACCAGGCCCAACCAGGTATACAAGCCTCCCGTCTGCATCGGGAAGAATCTGCCTGGGCCATTAATCAATGGGCTGATGTCCAAAGCAAAAGGTAGAGGAGGATTTACACCTAATCTCAACAATTCAGCCAACGAAGGAAGATATAAGAACGATGCTAAGAAATAATCACAAGTACAATCTTGGCAATGGTGAAAGGCATTAAAACACACACACACAGTGTCAGGTGCAGCAAACATACAAAATATGCAGCTAATTACAGTGCATATCAACTCATCATCAGACGCGCACTGTCCAGAAAGGAGACAAATCAAAAGGAGAGGAATTATAAAGGAGGAATCAAGAAGATATCTCTGGTGAGGAAAAGGAAGCAAAAGCTCATTAACACTTTCGCTCACCCCGCGCGCCACCCCTCGACAGGGCGATATGGGCCCCAGCGTGTCATGGAAGCGCGCGTTAATTCCGAAAAGTGTATACTCTCTTCAACTTTGTCACCTCAATTCTCCCTCTACGAGATAAAATTTGGTATCATTGTGTTCGCAATAAAATTCTCTACAGCACTAAATGCATATAAACTCCAAAAGCCCGGCTAATTACCCGCAGCAAACAGAGAAAGTGCGAACGAGTTACCCGGGAGCGCGCAAACGGGATAAAATGTTTTCACTATTTTCACTCTGGTCACCTCAATTTTGTCCTAGGTCTTTCATTTTGGTCTCAATGGGTTCGTAATAAAATTCTCTAGAGGAACATTAGCATATAAAAAAAAAACCTGGTCACGCTCCAACCGCCGACGAGTTGAAGACGGGCCACGCGTTAGCCGTGAGTGAGTGCTCAGAGGCCTTCTTGCTACACTCCAAATTCCCACCCTTTTCAAGCCTTTCTTTCGCAATTTTCTTCCTGGAAGGACCTTGTTCATGATTACTATCCATCGTAGAGTAAGCGTAGATAGTTTCTAAAGCCGCAGTAAGAAATATAGCCACGGGAAATAGCCGAAATGTTCACACGTTTGAGATGCGAGGGGAGGCGACATTGGTCACAACAGTGGAGCAAAGACAATGGGCCCACGGGGTGTGCCAAGCCGCCTGAGGGCCACGAGGCTCAACAAAGAAAATGGGAAGACATCGGCGCACATTTTAAAACCAGTCCCCAAAAAATCAGATAAAAACCTGATTTTTGGCGAATTTTTAAAGTGGATGACGCAATGCTGCGTCATCCCCGGCATTACCGCCAGTAAACGGATGACGCAATGCTGCGTCATCCCCGAGCGAAAGTGTTAAGTAGCTGGAAGAAGGCCTACACTATAGCTGGAGTAAATAAGTAAAATGAGCACATGCAACGTAACCAGTATAAGACACAATTGTAAAAGACAAAGAGAAAAGAAAGAGCAATGGTTCATAGTGAATGCCAGTTCCAGGGTTAGCCACCTCCACTTATCTGAATCAAGAAATAGCAAATAGGTTCCATCACAGTTCAGTCAGCCCTTACAATGCAAGAAGAATGTGAGGCAGAGTGAAGGCTGTGACACTGGGAGCTCAGGACCACTATCTGGTAGCAGCCAGACAAATAAGGGCTAGGGTTGCTCATCTACCACAAACTATCATTGCTCCTTGTTTTCCTTTTTTTTTAATTTCTTTCAAGAAGTGGTTGGTTTTGGTTTGTTTGCTTCTCTGGTCAGTTTTTGTCAGTTTTGGGGTTAATCTCTGATCCCCATGCTATCCTCTCCTATTTGAGTGAGCCAGATTCTGGGCTAAATTATGTATGGGTTGCAGAGGCATGACACGATTCTAAACCTTAGTGGTACCAGTGCTTAAGCACCAGGAACTTACTGACTACGTCTTTCCAGAAAGACTTAACAAAATACATAAAAATATTCAAATCTGTAGAAAAGTCTGAAAATCATTAAAGAATTTAAATTATCTTTAAATGATGAATGTATTTTAAAATTTTTAAATCAAGGTTAATAGTTTCATGTCTCTACTTAAGACTTAAGTACTCATAGACATTTTAATAATTACCTGGAACAAGTTTCTGGCTCCTTCTTCCAAATTATTTCCTTCAATAACAGAGTAGAATGCACGAATCTTGTGACGATGAAGCCAGCTGTATGCCTGCCTTATGAGTGAGTTACGTACACGTTGAGTCTGAGGGCCCTGAAAATTTATTCAACGAGATAATTCCTCATTGTGAAGGTGGTGGTATTACATTATCTCAATCACCTCAGGCAATTACATACAAAAGAAAGTTGATAAGAAAAATAAAAAAATGATAAGCAAAAAGAAAACAATAAGGATGACATCAGGAAAACAGACAAATAATAATAATAATAATAATAATAATAATAATCATTTATGGGTTTAATAATTGTTACAGAGTCTATATAATTTATAAGGTAACTAATATACAAAGTGTTTTGGGCATAACTTAAAATAATACAGTAAGGTTGTTTAACCCTTAAACTGCGCAACGTGCCTGCAGGCCCATGTCTGGTTTGCGCAACGCGCCTCCGGGTATTTTTATTTTTCACATTGAATTCAAAACTCCCGTGGCTACATGGGGTTCATATCAGCTTCCTCAGGGCTCTTGTAAACAGACACCATCTTAAAAAAAAATCGTGGTCCACATTCCCGAGTGTGAGAGCCTCAGTAGTGAGTGAGCAACCAAGGCTGGTGCTCACAGCATGAGCGCACAGCTCTGCTGTTCAGCATGTGACCACAGCATTGCCTAATAATGTCAAAATATATATATAACTTGTATTATTTAGCCATGATAGTATTATAGAAGAGCCTGAGTGTGATAATGACTGGGTACAATGTTCAAATATCAGTAATTCAATGCTGTTCACGATGTTCACAGCGCTAGCCACAGCACCACAGCATTATTTCGTCCATCTAGGAATCTTCAAATGACTTCCTAGGTTTCTTTTCAAAATAAATGTGTGGTCAATTATTCATTTACAGGAATTAGTGACCAGGATTGTGATAATAGCAGGATTGTGGTTATAATTAGCATTGTGCGTAGTATTGTGGAAGGAGAAATTTTGGTGAGGGAGGGAGGGAGAGAATTGAGGTAGCCTCACTGTGTGTGTGTGGCTGCCACTCTTGTTTTGCTCACCATACTAGCTTAGTGGTTCACTATGGGGGAACACATATGTACATAGGTATATACAGTGTGTGTGTATATAGTGTAATAACAGCAACAGGAGAGAGGAGCTATTTGGAGAGGGAGGTGACGTTGTAATCGTAGCGTCGTCTGCTGTGTGATTTCTCATGCAATGTATGGTGGCAACTGTACTGTTTGGACACAATACCGGCTTACTTGCATAGTTCTGGTGAATAAAACATGAAGATAGGTATACATAACATTTGTAAATAGTGTAATAAAAACAGTAAGAGTATGGTGGGAGGAGGGGTGATGGCGAGTACGATGTTGGAGGAGAGAGGGAGGACTGGCTGGCTGGGTGTGGCAGCTCACACTTGCGGAGTTCTGAGTGTGTTTATGGTGTGTGACAGTGTAGAGTGTGTAAATGTGTTGTAAATATACATAAATGAACCTGAAACATTGGTGTGAATAACAGTATGGTGGGAGGAGGGGGTGATGGCGAGTATGATGTTGGAGGAATATGGGAGGACTGGGTGGCTGGGTGTGGCTGCTCACACTCGAGGAGTTCTGTGTGCGTTGATGGTGAATGTATATACTGTGTGACAGTGTATAGTGTGTAAATAGATTTTAAATATACATAAATTAGCATGATACAAGGTAAATATGTGCAACATATGTGCACACAAGTGTCATGCACGTAACACAGTGTCTTCGGACAGTAAGGATATTTTACAGCCATAATATAGTGTACGTGTTCATTATACATAGGATTAGCACATAAAAACAAATAAAATGTATTTAGAATTGTGCGCCAAAAATGAACAAAATTACATTTGCGGCAACTCGCTCGCCCCGCCACGGGCGCCCTACTGGCCCTGGGAGCATACGTCACAGGCGAACGGGGAATGATTACGTCACACGCCAACTTACGGACCCCATAGCAGCCAAAGTACGTACAATGTCGATTTTTTTTTTACATACCCATACTGAGGGAAGGGTTTTTGACACTAAACAAACAAAAGAATTTTTTCCAGAGAATTTATTTCCTGCGCACTGGGGGGTGGTGTCATATTTGGAAGCCAAGCAGTTAAGGGGTTAATGGTGTCCCACTTGCATTTCTCTTCTCGGTGACAGTATGAGGTTTCCTTTTACCACTTACTTTCTCTTTGTTGTTGAACTTTGGTTTCTGAGTATGTGGCTCTCTCATTTCTTTGTTGGGGTTTTCGTGATCAGCATCACATGCCAAACACTGTCGCTTCATATTGTGTGCTGCTGGCAGAGCTACTGCAGCTTGCATTCGGGACTGATACTACCTTGGTTACGTTTTGCAAAGCTGTCTCATATTTTGTTTCACCTTCAGTTTGCTCATATGCTGCCCGAGCCTGCTAGTTCTCTGGTTATGTTTTCTCGTTTCTTTCTTTAGCTCAGTTTATATTGTCCCCTTTTGTCCATGATTATTTTCTTAATTTTTTTTTTTTTTAGTTTCTAGTGCATCCAATTGTTGGGTTGGGGAGCTTCATGCTCTCCTGAGGCATGGATTTTATTTTTTGGTCCCCTGGTTGTTCTTCATCAGAAGAAGAATTAATCTTGTCAACCAATTCGTTCTTCTGGTGAGGAATGAGTTGGTTGGCTTCTGGAGGGGTTCTTTGGTCATTGACCGATTGGTTGGTTCAGCTGAGGGTGTATAATGTGCAGTGTCTGGAGGCAGCTCTTCTTTGCTACCTTTGTGTCACAGGTTCTGCCTCAGATTATGCCTTGTGGGTTGAACCTGTTACCTAGGATCCCCCTATTCTAAGTCTTGTCTTTCTCAGGTAGTATTATTAAGTCTAGCCAGCCTGTGTGCTACTCTCATACCAGTGATGTTAGGAAGTATACTACTCACAGCAGTTTTTGCAAATATGTCCTGGGGCAGACGTTCAGGTGTGGGGGTTTTAGAGGTCAAATAGGGTTCTGGCAGTCCAGTATCTTGTCAATGTGTTTGGGCCCCAGCGCCCTTGTGTGGCCCTGGGTCCTGTCTCATGGTCGGGTGTCTCATCTTCATCTTAGATCCTGTAGTGTTCACTCCTCCCTGGTAAGTACCCCTTCCTTTCCTTCTCCATGGACAGTTAGCTTCATGGGAGCCATAAGGGGCTCCCCCCCCCAAAAAGCTGCATTAAATTAAATTAAATGCCAATTTCTGGGTGAGCCCTGGTAGCTCGATGACACCCTCCCTCCCTCCTGGTCATCGGTGGGTTGATTACATCTACCACAGAACTGAGGGTGGTGATGTCAGTAGACCATGAGCAGCCTCCCCTTCCCCCAAATGAGTGGGAAGTTGTGGCAAATGACTTTGCACAAGTTTAGAGAGAATTCAATCACTTTACATAGATGGGGGGGGGGGGTTCTCTGTTTGTGGTTTTAGATGTTGCAGTCTCTACTGCAGCCAGGAGTGGATGGCTTTGACTTGCTGACTTTCTGGTTGCTCTTCCTATGGTGGCATAAATAAGTAAATACAAGCCATCTCTCCTTGTGCCTCTATGAGGAAGCCAGGTTCTGATACTGATCCCTGGTAGGCCAATAGAATTCTGCAGCTGATGCATTCTAGTAGATGGTACACTATCAGTATATGATAGTGATAGCTCACCCAGAAATTGGTATTTCATTGTATTTAATGCTTGTTTTTTGCATCCAGAAGCATATGGGTTAGCTCAGATGAGAAACCTGTCATGTGTATGGTGCTGCAATTTGGTGGCAGTGGGGAAAGATGGCACAGGCATGTTTTTATACCAACCAGTATTTTAACAAAAGTGCTCCATCGTTGGTTACGTTTTGTAGCAAGAATGGCTTGGTAGCACTTAATTGCTATGAATTGATCTTTAGGAAGCGAGTTTCTCTGTCAGTGAAATTCAGACCTTATTGTTTGAAGAACATAAGGGACATGATATTGATCAAGCTAGGCGCAGTAAGGATCTAACACAAAGGTCAGATGCAAGTGATACAGCACTGATGAGGACAATGAAGCGAGCGTATCAAGTTGTAGTTCTGAGCCACACTTGCCATCTATACCATCACCAATTTTTATAGATGATACATAGATGAATTGCTTTCCGAGTTTAGTGATGATGCATCTGATACAAGTAGCATAAATGAAGAGTGTTAGTGGCTTCCATGATGGTGTTTTCCATAGATATTTTCAAGAATAGCTGAATCTTTTCCTGATTGACTGAATCTCTTCCAGAATGACCGAATCTCTTCCAGTGACCTTACAAAGCGATCTTTTCAAGACTATCTTACAAACTGATCTTTTCCTATAATATTTTCAAGACTACCTTATGCTTTACAAGCTTGGCTACATACCACCTACAGGTACTAAAGCCAAGAGTGCATGTGAGTGCATTATTTGCAAGCACACAGAATGAAGAAAGAGAAAGCGAAAATCTATCTCTACCTGGTGCAACAAGAGCGAAGTCACGCCGTGTACCATGGACTGTTTCATTCAATATCACTTACTTCCAAAGTACTGAGTACTCACCTAGTTTTGCTTGCGGGGGTTAAGCTCTGGCTCTTTGGTCCTGCCTAATTGTGTAATGCAGTGTGTTACTGTGTAAATAGTATGTGAAACTGTACATATTGTAATTTTATTGAATTTTAAACAAGTACTATTGCGACAATAAACATTTATTGTGGACACATTACTGACACATGTATCACAGTTGCATGGAACATAATGAACGTTCTATTGTATACATATTGTAAAGAACACAAATATGCATCATATATGATAAAAAACCCGCGTTGAACGTAATGAAACTCCATTTTCTGGGTGAGTCCCAGAGGCTCCCCGGAGCTATCCATGGCTGATATGGATACCCTAGCTATTTTACATCAGTCGATGTGGATGGAGTTCTAGGCCTACCGAGGACCACGAGCCAGAACCTGGCCCCCTCAGAGAGGCACAGGGAGCAATGGCCCATAGAAACGCACATGTGATTTGGAGCATTCTATATCTGCCATCGACCGGGACAGGCACCCAGAAAGGTAAGCACCACAAAACAAACTCCTATTCTGGTTA